CGATAAATAACGTGGTATTTGTTATGCCAAATGATTAAGGAAGGGCAAGGTGTTTGATTGAACAAGGAATGCAGGACAAATTGACAGCTACAATTCAACTATCTTAAGAATAACTTTCATAACTCCATCTCAGGCAAACGTTTGATTGAACATTTAAAAGAAAAAAGAAAAGAGTGATCAGAATCAAAATTACCATATACTATATGCAGATTCTTTGACAAATAACAAAAGCAAGGGTATGAACATCACAGAAGCAGAATCACTATGGTTTCGTGAGTCGGAAATTGGCTGAGCGATAAAAATTATAATAAAAAGTTTCACATGGCAGTTCCGGTAACAGCTCAAGTCCACCGCTAGCAAATATTATCCTTTTTGGGCTTTCCCTTTCAGGCTTCCCCTCAAGGTTTCTAAAACACGTCTACTAGGGAGGGATTTCTACACCCTTATAAATAATGCTTCGTTTTTCTCCCCAACCGACGTAGGATCTCACAATCCACCCCCTTTAGGACCCAGCGTCCTCCCTAGCACTCATTCTCTTCTCCAATCGATGTGGAACCCCTCAATCCACCCTCTTTCAGGGCCCAGTGTCCTTGCTGACACACCGCCCCGTGTCCATCCCCCTTCGGGTCTTCGCCTCCTTGCTGGCACATCGCCCGCTGTCTAGCTCTAATACCATTTGTAACAGCCCAAGCCGACACCTAGCAGATATTGTCCTCTTTGGGCTTTCCCCTTCGGACTTTCCTCAAGGTTTTTAAAACGCGTCTGCTAGGTAGAGGTTTCCACACTCTTATAAAGAATGCTTCGTTCTCCTCCCCAACATCTCACAGTTCCAACTTGTAATGAAACATTATTTCATGTGATATGAAAAACAAGCAGGAATAAAGAACAGCCTCGTAACTGTAATGATTTTGAATCATAGCCTTCAATGCTCTGTTGTCAACCTCAGATGACACAATCAGCAAAACAACTAAGACCTCTTGGGTTACATGACAATGCAAACCTTGGATTATGAGACTATTTTCTGACAATATCAAGCCCACAGTTCCCAATCCAGTTGGGTGGTCAGAAAAATAGTAAATCATTAGGCTGAAAGAGGTAAACTGGCCACTAATCATATCCTAAATGGAGCTGACAGCTGATTTACGACCCCTTGCTAGTATATGACTTGTGTTGATTCATTGTTCATTATTTGTGTAAAGATATAACTATTTCTAACTTGAATTTGCTGTTTTAATTGAATATCAAACAACAGGGATGGCCTAGAAATTAGGACAGTGTAAGAGGAACAGGAAAGAAAGATGATTTCTTACCTCAGCCTCTTTTTGAGCTACCTTGATCATCTCCATTTCATCTTGCAACCTTGAAATCTTCTCCTTCTCCTCTGCAATCTGCTCCTGTAATTTTGTTTTTTGCTTTTCCCAGGCCAATAGTCTCTTTAAGCTTTTTTTCTCCCTCTTTGCAACCTCCAAACAAGTTGTGACAGACTCGGAGGCACTTAACTTTAAAGCTTCCATCTCTGCTCTAATTTCTGCATTTTCTGTCTCAAGTCGTCGTACTGTCGAATTTGCACGGTCCACCTGACCACTGGCCTTTCTCAACGCATTCTCCATCTCAGATAGCCGTTTCATTGTTGTGTCCTCCAAAGTCGGTTTGCCATTTTTCAGGCGTTGCGTCTCTTCCCTTTCCATCCTCAACGTTTTAAGCTCGGTGAGATCATGACTCAATTTCCTAGCAGCTTGCATTGCCTTTTGATGCGCCCAATCTTTCCGCTCCTTCACTTGTCTCTCGAGCTCTTTAATCTGATGCAAGAGATTTACAATCACTTCATCCTTTTTATCGTCTGCCACAAAATCCAAATTCTCATAAATCTTCAAATCGCGAAATTTATTCAACATTGAATTTACAGCATCTTGGTTCTTTGGAATCTGGGACTCCTCAATTTTCTCCACTGGAACTACCGAAGCACCTTGTACGACAGGAGGAATTTCACTTGGCAAGACAGTTGCACAAGCTTGAGTCTGTGCTGTAAGGTGTTTCGAGTTTGCTCGAAAACCAGCAGCAAATGCAGCCACATTCCTCTTCAACAATGACTTCATTGAAGGAGAAAGATTAAACCTCTTTGGACACTCAATATCTCTATGCAAATCCATTTCAGGAGGATAAGACAGAAAACCATTAGCAGAGAATTCAGAACCTCCACTATTTCCAAAACCAGAACCACCATGAAATTTACAAAGGGATGGTTCCAAAAATCCCACTGGTTGGTTACTAACATTCTCACCATTGGCACCAGATGCTGGCCCATTAACATTACTTGGTGCTGAAGGAAGCACCGGAATTTCCATGGTGCTTGCTCGACCGACATGAAGATCACTCATAAGCAAACACCACATAGCATCTCCTTTAGTCAAATGTGGCCTAACTTGTTGCAACAAACATACCATACCTGCCAAAGAATACTCCTGCAATTGCCTTATATCAGAGAACGCAGGCTCAGGATCATCCACAACCAAATTAGCATTAGCATTAACACTATCAATAGCAATACCATTACCATTACCATTACCGATGGGTCCAATACCGATGGTTCCAATACCAACACCATCAGCAGAAGCGGCAGCGGCAGCGGCAGCAGCAGCTGCAACAGCCTCGCTGCTAGCACTATCAGAGTTGTTGTTACCATTCAAAAACGACAGCGAATTATGCAGCACATTTGTTAGAACATCCATGGTACCATAGCAATGCCCATTTTGCAAAATCGCCCTCATCGCAGCATCCTCATCATAACCCAATGCAACAAGCTTCGAAAGAGCTTCAGTATAAACAAATTGCAAATTCTTCATCAAAATTTCCTCCAATTGCTCCTCCGTACAGTAACCCCATCCAAGATCATCCAAGCTAGAACCGGAATTACAGTTCGAGGTAACAGCGTTATCCTCGTTCGAATCGTCAAGCCCAATATGATAATCCAACGGCTTCGAACCCGATTCAAGTACAGATTTGGGAAGTGAAGCTCGTTCTTGGTGACAACACGGATCGAATTCGGGTTTTACCGATCGAGACCTCCGATTCGTACGAACATGCTTATCTCTCACCGTGCAACCCATTTACAATCGTTTGAAAATACGAATTAAAAGAAGGGAAACAAAAAAACTGAAAGGAAGAGATTGAAGAGTCGTGGAGATTTACAGTCGATTGAGAAACCGATAGTATTTCAATCAAAATTGGAACGTAATTAATGAAATTATTGATGAATAACCAGAGAAACTCACTGGGTTTGAAGAAGATCGGCGATTGATTTGGTGTGAGTTGCTGAAATTGAAATGGGGGCAGTGCGCAGGAGAGAGAAAGGTATATAATGGGGAGGATGAAGAGAGAAGAGAAAGGACATGCAGAAGAGCTTATTCCGGGTCGGGTATGCACAAACCCTCTGTCCAAACAAGTAAATCAGCAAGACCAAGTATGACCAATTGTGGCCGTCATAATGTTTTTAGATGAACAATATCAAAAAAGTGGAACCAACCCATCATAATCGTCTCTCGTAACAAATCGTTATAGCAAACATGAGCCGGAATGAACAATGGCATTGAGTTTCGTTCATGAGTTCGAGTCGAGTAGCATTCAGGTCTTCAGTAATGTCTCGTGAAGCTCAATGTCATTTTTTGGTCCAAAATCAATGAGAATGAAAAAAATTATCAATTTATTCTCTACATCTTGGAAAATTAGAGTAACTTCTTGGCTGAATAAGATGCATGCTTTAATCAGTTGGGTGTTCACTAGGCGTCGTAGGGATGAAATTTGGATTTTTGCGACATAGAATGGATCAAAAAACTGAACACGTTTCCGATACTGATAGCAGCCCCCTTCTTGATCAGTTCCATCCAGGAATACTCCTCTTGGTTTCCAAGTGACAAAGAAAGAATAGGAGAAAGGAGTGTTGGATTCATATGGGTCACGTTAATTTCTAACCTCTCGATTAATGACAACTTAATCAAGTCGAGCTATGTTCGTTTTAACAGACTTTAACCAGTTTAGATGTTCACGAGGTGTCATAGGGATGAAGAGGACTACTTCTTCATGCCCACTTATATTTTTCATTAAATTTTAATTTTGAGACACGGAATGGATCAAAGAACTGAACACGTTTCCAATACTAACATCAGTTCCCTCCCACTCAATCCAATATGGGAATACTGCGTGTGATTTCTAAGAAGTGACAAAGAAGGAATAGGAGAAAAGAGGGTAGAGTCATGTTAACTTTTAACCTCTCGATTAACGCAACTTAATCAAGTCGAGCTATGTTCGGTTTAACAGACTTTAACTAGTTTAGATGTTCACGAGGTGTCGTAGGGATGAAAATGACTACTTCTTCATGCTCACTATATTTTTCGTTAAATTTGGATTTTGTAACACGAAATGGATCAAAGAACTGAACACGTTTCCAATACTGACATCAGTTCCCCTCCTGCTCAGTCCAATTCGGGAATACCAAGAAGTGACAAAGAAAGAATAGGAGAAAAGAGTGTAGGATTGGTGGGTCACGGTAACTTTTAACCTCTCGATTAACGACAACTTAACCAAGTCGAGCTATGTTCGGTTTAACAAACAGACTTTAACCGATTTAGATGTTCACGAGGTGTCGTAGGGATGAAGAGGACTACTTCTTCATGCCCACTATATTTTTCGTTAAATTTGGATTGTGGGACATAGAATGGATCAACAAACTGAACACGTTTCCAATACTGACATCAGTTCCCCTCCCGCACAGTCCAATATGAGAATACTACATGTGATTTCCAAAAAGTGACAAAGAAAGGACCGGAGAAAAGAGTGTAGGATTGGTACCGGTCACATTAACTTTTAACCTCTCAATTAACGACAACTTAATCTATGGGTCACACTTATGTAGGATTTCCAAGTGTCGACCCACTATGCACTATGCCTGAAGGCTGGCCCAAATAGACTAGACGAGGCCTTAATGCTTGAGCCCATGGCCATCGCTTAACACGACGTCGTACTAATCACTCTTGGCTGCCTCACTTGGTCCAGTGCTCGTCGTGCTTGGAGGGAATCGGAGGTTTTTCGGAGTAGAAAGCTCCATTTCATCACTCCACAGTCTCCCTGTTTGTCGAAAGTAAACACTCTCAACGTTCATAATCTTCTTATGTTTCCAATTTCTAAGTTCCTTTCTGGATAATGAATCATGATCATGGCTACTGCTCAATCTTGGGTTCGATTGAATTTCTGATTCACTGTCTTCTTCCACTTCAAATTCGCATGTTCTTCCTGTGTTCTGGGTTTCTCTTCTTCACCGATACTTTTTGCTTTTGATTTTAGAATATAGTGAATGAATGTTTCTTATACCAACTTGTTTTCAGCTGGGTGTTGTCGGGATTATGCAATTAAACATCCTTTACAATGATTAGATGAAAAAAAGAGGGAAAAAATCCATTTGAGTTACTGTAGTTGTGTTCAATATGACTTTGATTGTTGCTATGCTTAACTAAAAGCCATTTGTTTCGTTCTAGTTTGATAACCATTTTGTTGGTTTTTTGTTTTTGAAATTTGATTAAGATTTCAGAGTCATGTTCAAAATATGATAGATGTGATATCCTCATCGGTTGGGGAGGAGAACGAAACACCCTTTATATGGGTGTGAAATCCTCTCCCTAGCTGAGAGGGAAAGCCCAACGAGGACAATATTTGCTAGCGGTAGGCCTGAGCCATTACAAACGGTATTAGAGCCAGACACGGGGCGATGTGCCATTGAGGAGGTTGTAGACATTAGGCGGTGTGCCAGCAAGGACGCTGGGCCCCAAAGGGGGTGGATTTGGTAGGGGTCCCACATTGATTGGAGAAATGAGCGAATGCCAGCGAAGACGCTGGGTCTTGAAGGGGGGTGGATTGTGACATCCTACATCGGTTGGGGAGGAGAACGAAACACCCTTTATAAGGGCGTGGAAACGGTGGATTTGGTAGAGGTCCCACATCGATTGGAGAAAAGAACGAGTACCAGCGAAGACGCTGGGCCCTGAAAGGGGATGGATTATGACATCCCACATTGGTTGGGGAGGAGAATGAAACACCCTTTATAAGGGCGTGGAAACCTCTCCCTAGTAGAAGCGTTTTAAAAACCTTGAAGGTAAGCCCGAAAGGAAAAACCCAAAGAGGATAATATCTGTTAGCGGTGTGGTACATGTTACAATTACTAGAAAAGATTACATAGTACATGTTATTTTAGAAGCATTCTTTTCGTCGAACTAGAAACAAAATTGTTATCAAACTGAGTCTTAGCGGTGTAATTTATCATTTGAAGTCCCATCAACCTTTGTTTCCAGCATAGACCAGCACAATGGAAGACAGTAAAAACCATTCTTCTGAAGAAACTACAAAGGGGTTTGCTAAAAGCACCAAAGATCAAAAACTAAATGTGTATGTGTGGGACATGGATGAAACTATCATCCTGCTCAAGTCTTTGTTGAATGGGACATATGCTGAGGCTTTTTGTGGTTCAAAGGATATTAAAAGGGGTGAAGAACTTGGCAAAATTTGGGAGAAGCAGATTCTTGATCTGTGTGATCATCACTTCTTCTATGAACAAGTAAGGTTGAGATTTCTCCATAATCATGTTCGAACAACTCCACGATATAATGTCTCGAAAGTTGACGTCGTTATTACATTTTTATGCAGATAGAAAACTATAATCAACCGTTCATTGATGCATTGAGTGAATATGATGACGGCCGGGATCTTTCCGATTATGATTTTGACCAAGATGGGTTCGATCCACCATATGATGATGGAAACAAAAGAAAATTGGCTTTTAGGCAACGTGCTATAGCCAATAAGTACAAAGAGGTATCAGGAAATCGTCGTGTTTATATTTTCATCGACTTTTTTCAGCATCGGGATGTTTTCTATACTAGAAAGATAATGATGTCTAGGCTTTGCTCCTTTTTTCTTTCATGTCTCTTAAACTATTCATATAACTTATTGTCTGTTTCTTACTGTTTGGAGCTCTTACTTTTTGATGTAGTTTCAATGTTATTCTTGATGGGTGCTGTAAAAGTCTTTTAGATGTTCTTATTACACATACATTATGGGGGAAAATTCAATATTTACCACTGTACTTTGACTCATTGAATCAGTTTAAACTTCAGCTTTCAATTTGTTAAATCCTAAAGTTGAATATGTGGTGTGTTAGACAAACACGACTCTCCACAATGGTATAATATTGTCCACTTTGAGCTTAAGCTCTCATGGCTTTGCATTGGACTTCCCCAAAAGGCTTCAAACCAATAGAGAGTGTATTCTTTAATTATAAACCCATGACCGTTCCCTAAATTAACCGATGTGGGACACTTTCATCCAACATGGTGAAATCAATGCCTTCAATTAGTTAAGCTTCTATCTTCTTGAAAATTTGTGGTTAGTAAGGAGTATTATGAGATCTCACATCGGTTGGAGAGAAGAACGAAATATTCTTTATAAGGGTGTGGAAACCTCTCCCTAGTAGACGCATTCTAAAAACCTTGAGGGGGAGCCCGAAAGGAAAAGCCCAAAGAGGATAATATCTGCTAACGGTGGGTTTGGGCTGTTACAAAAGGTATTGGAGTTAGACACCGGATGATGTGCTAGTGATGACACTGAGCCCCAAAGGGGTAGACACCGGGCGGTTTGTCAGCGAAGACGTTGGGCCCTGAAGGGGGTGGATTTGTGAGATCCCACATCGATTAGAGAGTGGAACGAGTGTTAGCGAGGATGCTGGGTATCAAAGGGGAGTGAATTGTGAGATCTCACATCGGTTGGAGAGGGGAACGAAACATTCTTTTTAAGGGTGTGAAAACCTCTCCTTAACAAGCACGTTTTTAAAACCTTGAGGGGAAACCCGAAAGGGAAAGTCCAAAGAGAATAATATCTGCTTGCGGTGGACTTAGGCTGTTACAGTATTCTTGTGGTTGGACAAAAGTATTTTTGTGAGTATTGATTTTTCTGGTTATATCTGATGTTTCTTAACTGGGTAAGAGCACGTGGTTTGATTTAAAAGAAGTACGAGATTTAATACGCTACTATATCATACGCTTTGCATTTTAACTGGATGTTTATGGATGTGGAAAAGGTAGATAGCTACCGTGGAAGGGATCTTTAACTTTTGGTTTTTCCTTTTGGAGATGTTTATCATCTTTTTATTATCCCAAAGAACACATTTTAAAAACTGTTTGCTTCTCCAGGGCCTGCAGAATATCTTTGATGAGCAGAAGATGAAGTTCTGGGAAGAGTTATATGAAATGACTGATGTCTATACAGATAGATGGTTCTCCTCAGGTATTCTACTCATCATGATGTAGCTTCGAACCGTTTGATGCTCTCTTTTGATGATTTTGATGTGTGCTATACCCTTATATACTCAGAACAATTCAAGTATTTCATTTCCATTTATAAAGGAGATAGACAATATCATGACCGCTGTTTATGTAACAACCCAAGGTTTTTAAAACGCGTATGCTAGCGAGATGTTTCCATACCCTTATAAAGAATGCTTTGTTCCCTTCTCCAATTGACGTGGGATCTCACAATCCACCCCCTTTCGAGGCCCAGCGTCTTCGCTGGCACTCGTTCCTCTCTCTAATCGATGTGGGATCTCAAAATCCACCCACTTTCGGGGCCCAGCTTCTTCGTTGGCACATCGTCCGATGTCCACCCCCTTCGGGGGCTCAGTGTCCTCGCTGGCACGCCGTCTGGTGTTTTGACTCTAATACCATTTGTAACAGCCCAAGCCCACCGTTAACAGATATTATTCTTCTTGGGCTTTTCCTTTCGAGCTTCCCCTCAAGATTTTTAAAACGTGTATGTTAGGGAGAGGTTTCCACACCCTTATAAAAAATGCTTCGTTTCCTTCTCCAACCGATGTGGGATCTCACAATCCACTCCCTTTCGGGGCTCAGCGTTCTCGCTGGCACTCGTTCCTCTCTCCAATCGATGTGGGATCTCACAATCTACCCACCTTCGAGGCTCAGCTTTCTCGTTGGTACACCGATGTCCACCCCTTTCGGGGCTCAGCATCCTCGCTAGCACACTACCTAGTGTTTGGCTCTGATACTATTTGTAACAGCCAAAGCCCACCACTAGCTAATATTGTCCTCTTTGGGCTTTCACTTTCGGGCTTCTCTTCAAAGTTTTTAAAATGCGTCTGCTAGGGAGAGGTTTCCACACCCTTATAAACAATGTTTCGTTCCCCTCTCTAACCGGTTTCCACACCCTTATAAAGAATGTTTCGTTCCCCTCTCCAACTGATTGAGATCTCACTTGAGGAAATCTCGCATAGTAGTTGACACATTGGTGTACTAAACTATATATGATATTTGGACAATACTTTTAATACCACCACCTACCGTTCTCTATTGTACTTAATCCTCTAGCTAAAGTTTTTGTTGCTTCTCTATACACCTGCAAATGGTCACTCTTATTTTCCACCATTCAAGCACGAGCTTTCTTGGAGGAGTGTGCATTTTCAGACGAACCACCACTCGTGTCTGCTGATCGGGCACGTAACAGTACTTCTAGAAGTTCTCAGCATGTTAATATCTTGGTGACTTCTGGATCATTGATACCCAGCCTTGTGAAATGCTTACTATTTCGGCTTGATCATCTAATAACACCCGGAAATGGTGAGTCACTCCCTTTTTAATTATCGACTTATTTAAAAACTTGTCTTAATTATCGACTTCGAATCGATTACTTTCCAGTTTACAGTTCATGGGAAGTGGGGAAACTACAATGTTTCAAATGGATCAAGGAGCGTTTTAACAAGACGAATGTTCGTTTCTGCGTAATAGGCGACGGATGGGAAGAGTGCGAAGCTGCACAGTCCTTGAAATGGCCATTTGTTAAGATTGAGCTGCAACCTGGAAGCCCTCACAGATTTCCTGGTCTGTCTTTGAAAACACTTGGCTTTTACTTCTCTGTTATTTATGGTAACTCTGATTCATCAAGTGATGAAGAATAGCTCACATAATCGGTAACAGATAAGCTAATCATTTTCCATGCTTCATCTCTGTGTTCTTATGAAATACAAGAGATAAGTATTATGGCTGTCTTTTATGTTCAAAGATGATATGCATAATCACAATCATTAGCCGGCCATAATAAGTCTGTATTTTTCTTCCATATTGTAATGTACTTCTGCTTGTATTGATCAATATTCAGTGGCTGTAATCTTTGTTCTGAGAATGCAAAACTTGGTTATCTTAAGCTGTTGTTTGCATTTGGGATGAGCTAAATTTAAGCTTTGAGGTTTGTAGTTTTCTTGAGAACTCTGCTTTGATTTGAATGGTTTCTTTGGAGTCAACTTATAATTAATGACTGTCTTTGTCTGCAACTTTGTGCATCATTGTGGTGGTTACTCCCCGTCCCGTAATAGCCAAAACCCACTGTTAGCAAATATTGTTATTTATGGGTTTACCCTTTCGGGCTTCCCTTCAAGATTTTAAAATGTGTATGCTAGGATGAGGTTTTTACACCCTTATGAAGAATGTTTCGTTTCCCTCTCCAACCGATGTGGGATCTCACAATCCATCTCCCTTGAGGCCAACGTTCTCACTAGCACTCGATCTCCTCTTCAATCGATGTAGGTTCTCACTTCTCTCGTGCTCTGTTTAAGATTAGAACATCTTAGTATTCAGATTGACTAACCTAGTAGGCAACAAGTCATTGTGTCAATGTTTTAGTTTATTAAGAAATGACGAAGGTACATTATTATTGGAGTGAGGATACAATTGGAGTGAGGATACAAGACTGATAGGGAGATGAGTGCCAAACTCAAATCCCCAAGCTTAGCATTGAAATGGAGCAATCGACATTTCTTTGAATTATTTGCCTCTCACATTTTTCATTCAGATAAGTCAGAGCGGAAACAACCCCGCGTCAAGCAAATGAACCATTAGTAAGGGTAAAGTCTAGACAGAGGTCTATTTAGTATCGAAGAGCTGGGAATATAAAGGTTATGGAGGGGCGGGTTAATTGTCTATACTAAGTCGAAGAGAAAAACATACAAGATGAAAGACGATATGGCTTGTTGGATATGCCTTAAGGTCAATGTGAGCATGTTATTTTACGTGTAAAATGAGTTGTATTGGTAAATGAGAAATTACGATATCATTTAAAATGGTTTATCTATATTTTAAATGTTTTTTTTTTTGAATCCCAAATAAGATTTTTTATATTATACTTCAAAAAATATTTTTCGCTATATAATGTTTGAGCACGAGAAGCTTATGGTCAAGTGGGTTTGTGAAATTCACTCGATTAAGCGGTATTATCAAACTAGATAAAACAACAAGCATCAACTTTTGAAATAAAGATGAATTTCAGCTACCTCTCAAAAACATGGTAAAAAAGAAAGAAAATCGGAAAACGCAAGTAGTTAGGGAAAAAGAAAGCACCATAAACTACAATATAATATCTCCGACGTCAAGATTTGGAATCCATATTTGGTACCGGAGGACCTCGATATTCTCCTACATCCCCTACAATATGGTCATATTACTTCATTCTTGAAATGAAGACTATCACTACTGACCAACACAAGTCCTTTCAACATTTTCTTGCTCACTTCTTAGAAAAACTCACCTTACATAGGATTGCTCTAAGTAAAACACGATTAATTCTAAAATTCCTGTAATTAAGCCACCGAAAAGCAATGTGCACCTTGTTAACATAGATAATAACTTTCAATTGTTTAAGTCTTTTTTAGTCATTATATTCTCAGGATCGCTTTTATTCTGAAGTAACCTCAGTTCATTTATATAATTCTCGTTTATTGTGTATCACATATAAGTATAGAAAATTATGCCGTAATATTAAAATTTGAATTTTTAAAAACTATATTGAACATTATATTATATTTTTATTAAGAAATATTAGTAGAAAAATTCTCGATCTAGCAAAAATAAATGGAAAATTTTGGTAGAATAATCGATCAACAAAACAAAGGAATAACAACACGTGGGACATTTAAGGGCGTGCATGGGTGACTAATGGCAACCAACGTGTAATGCTTTTAAACCCTTTTGATCACTATAAAATCTCTGTCTTTTATCATTTTCGAATGATTGAAAATTGGGTTTTTTTTTAGTGCAAGAAATTGACACTTACAACACAAAGATAATGCAGTCTGCAATGGAGAAGCTCAGCAACATGGGAAGTGTTGCCAAAAAGAAGCTCAAAATTTGTAGAGCCAAACTCGACGAGAAGGTGCAAAAAGCGTCGGCGAAGACAGCGGAGGAGAGAAAGATTGCGGAGGAGCGGAGGAAGGCGGCGGAGGCAGAGGCGAAGCGGGAGCTACACGAGGCGAAAGCCCGACATGCTGCTCAAAAGCTAAGAACTAGGCAGTCACATGTAGTTGGCCACCGTTTACACCATCAGCCACCGGTGGAGGGGGGCAGCGCCGCCAATGTTCCCGCTTATCCTATAGCTAGTCCGGAGGGCTACTACCCTGGACATAGAATTTAACCTTTGTAGAACTTATTGATGTAATTATTGCATTATTGGGTGATTAAGCCTTAGTTTAATATGTACTATTACGAGTTATTATGGGTTATGTTAAGGATGATCGGTAACGAAGATGCATTTTAAAACGAAAGTCAAAAGTGGATAATATCTAATCGTACCGGACTCATGATTAGTCTTGTTTATGAACTAATTGATTGTATTCATTTTTTTCATTCGTTTTTTTTTTCTTTTGTTAGAGATATAGTTTAATATGTCAACCATTAATTGTTAAGTATCGATAATAATATCTTTGGATGGGTTGATTTAAATATAATTTAACCCATTGAATTAAAACATAATATTGCGAATAGGATTAAATTTTCAAATTTTTATTTGAAAAGTTAATAGTTTTGAAATTTTGTTGGACAACTGAAGTCAATAATTATTACTTGATTTCTTTAGGTACAAGTACTTCATTAATTTTCATCTTAGTCAAGAATTTCATTTTTTTGGTAGTTTGAACGGAAAATTGGCTCAAAATTTGGATAGAGATCAAGACGTAGTTGGGTGTCGGTGTCTGACTCAAATGCCCCCGAACGTTGAAATTGAGTGTCATCTTTAGTTCAACAATTTCAGGCAAATATCAAATCTTCGATCCAATTTGAGTAGTAAAAGATATCTCATCTGTTAAGTAACGTGACGTTTGGTTATCAGATATTCCATATTTTTCCATCTATTTACTTTATACTAAATTCAATTTATTAATGGCAAGATATTAGTTGGTATTTAAATGATATTTGTGAGATCCCATATCGGTCGGGGAGAAGAACGAAACACCCTTTATAGGATGTGGAAAGCCCAAAGAAGACAATATCTGCTAGTGGTGGGCTTGGGCCGTTACATATATGTTCATTTTTAATACACGATTTTGAGGATCCGACAACTAAGAAAGACTTAAAAGAAACGAAAATTAACTAGGTATACCAATAAGGTGCACATTCTTTTTTCGTGGGTCAATTATAAGAACTATATGATTAAGCGTTTTGCTTGAAGCAATTTTATATTGAGTGACATCTCGAAAATTTTCCTAAAATGCATAAGAGAGAGTAAATCATGCGAAAAGAACTTGTATTGGTCGATGAGAATAATCTTCACTCTTAAGGGACGTAGTCAATATCGGAGAACATCAGGAGATGAATCTGAATTTCGAATCTTAATCTAAATTCATATTTTAATACCGTTTCAACTTTCATGTCTATATCCCTTCGATTGTTTCTCCCTAAAATTATTTTCTTCGTAAAGTCCAATAAATATATATTTTTTTAGCATCCTTTATTGCTAATTTTTCAAATATACAATATTCAAATAAAATTAGTCAAAATTATAATTCAAATTAGTTTTGGTTTATAATTATTTTATTTTTTATTTTTAAAATATTAGCTTATAAGTAATTCCCTCGATTGTTAAGAATGATGCTCTGATAATGTGTTAAGAGTGAGAATTGAAATTAAAAGTTCGATATTTATTAACGTTCACGACGTTTATATAGGATACAAGCTATCAACTAAATCTTAAAAATAAAATAAAATATACAAAATATATTATTAGCCAAATCCTAAAAATGACTATATAAAATATATTCTAATGTCTATATTTCTTTATTTTCTTAACGACTCTTCTAAAATGTTTTTAAAATTTAAGTTAGAAGTTAAAAAATAGAAATAAAAGTAAAAGTAAAGGTCACATTTATTATGAAGAACATACTCCCATGGATGGCATATTTGGGAAGCTTCCAATAATTAATAAAACCAATTGTGTTCGTACCAACCCAAGTGCTTGACAACCTACCATGCCCCCTTGTCTTTTCAAAACAATGTTCTCTTTAAATATCTGGTTTTTGTGACTGCTTTGATTCGTTGGATATCGCTGTCGGCTTCACAATTTTAAAATACATCTATTATAAAAAAATTTCTACACCTTTATAAAAAATGTTCTGTTGCCTCACAATTTTGTTACCTCGTTGATACACCGTCTGATGTCTAGCTTTGATACTATTTGTAACAATCCAAACTCACTGCTAACATATATCGTTCGTTTTGGTCCATTACGTATTACTATCAACTTCACGATTTTAAAATACATCTATTAGAGAAAGGTTTCCACGCAGTTATTAGAAATGTTTCGTTCCCCTCTCCATGTAATTTTCTTTTTACCATTTTGATGAATTTTGGTTTGAAGAGTTTGTTAAAATAGAGTAATTTAATGAATTATAAAACATGATAGAAAATTGATATGAAGAGACGTTTTTTTGTTGAGATTATTCAATTTTACAAAATTACTCAATGGTTGAATAATGTTAACAATTAATTTGAATTCATACAAATTTATTTTCCATTGAAATTAATGACTTTAAGGATACTTCAAAATCATTAGGTGAATTAGTGAAAATTAAATATAAATTAAATGTTTTTATGAGTCTTGAATTCAATTCAATAAAAATTAAAATTTTGAGTGAAACTTGATAAGACAATCGTTATTATTCTAAACATAAATGATTTATGTGACACTCGAGTAGATCAGGAATACATGAATGAACCGATATCATATCCGAATGAGAGTGGTCCTACGGATATGATGGGTAAGAAAGGCTTAAAAAGAATTGATGTCACTGTCTAACCAACAAGATGTATCTTCTTTTTCACTTGCTCAATCATAGGAATTTCATAGCTAAGCGTGCTTTGCTTAGAGCAATTATATGATGTGTGACCTCCTGGATTATTAGGTACTGAATATTCTGAATCTTAATTCGATTTCTAGACCTGAATCGTAAAAATAGAAGATATATATGATCGTTGACACAACATATGAATTAGAATTTACACATTGTATTGTAAAAATTGATGAAATATAAAAAATGTTAAGAAAGTATGAATGTTATACCAAACGAAATACCATAGGGGTAGCAAATATGAAATAACAATAATTTTGAAAAAAATAAAAACATCATGTTCTAACTTAAGGGCCACTAACTTCCACAAAAATATAACTACCCTAACTTCAATTTCATGGTTTACAACATGGTCGTGTTTCGTACTAGTGTGCCTTACCTTTACCTAAAAATAAGAGTAACACGTGGCTCGATTATTTTAAGAAATACTCAGTAAGTAATCCCTTGTTGAGATAAAGAAATGCATGCACAAGCCAACCATTATGAGACCTATCCTTTTATAAAACATCGTAGCATGGCTTTATATTTCGCTTTCTACTTTAGGTAAAATTGGATGTGTGGTAGTTTTCCAAACACCGCTCAAACATAATTCAATGTATCATACCTGTAGTAGAATAACTTACTCATTTTGGTTGAAACTTGCTAATTGAGATAATTAACCTAATTTGGTTATTAACAAGTTAGGTAATGTTAACATTTTCCATTTATGCTTATAGTTGAAATTTTGATTCTTGTCCTTGAAAACTTTTCATTCAAGTAAATTGTAATTAACTATAACTTAGTTGGACAATTACTTCAATAATCTTAGTTGGATTGTTAAACCTTCATGTTTAAGTATGGAGGTAAGTTTTTTTTTTTAAGGAACGCAACTATCTTAGCTTCGGTCTCATAATTTTCACCGTAATATCGTTATTCATATAAGAGTGTTCTATCCTTACCTAAAAATTAAGAGTAGCATGTGGCTTGAGTATATAAGTAGTCACGCTATTAGGGCCAAGAAAATGTAGACACAAACAATCATGTTGGAACTTATAATTCGGATGTCTTTCAAGAATGATGAAAAAACATATTATGATCTGAGTAAAAAAGTGTACATAAATTGTAACGGCCCAGATCCACCGCTAGTAGATATTGTTCTCTTTGGGCTTTCCCTTTCGGGCTTCCCCTCAGGGCTTTAAAACGCGTCTGCTAAGGGAAGATTTCCACACACTTATAAATGGTGGTTTGTTCTCCTCCCCAACCAATGTGGATCTGGGCCGTTACAAATGGTATCAGAGCCAGATACCGAACGATGTGCCAACCTTCTCGCTGTTCCCCGAAGGGGGGTAGACACGAGGCGGTGTGCCAGTAAGGACGCTGGGCCCCAAAGGGGGGTGGATTTGGGGGCGGTTCCACATCGATTGGAGGAAGGAAAGAGTGCCAGCGAGGACGTTGGGCCCCAAAGAGGGGTGGATTGTGATGTCCCACATTGGTTGGGGAGGAGAACAAACCACCATTTATAAGTGTGTGGAAATCTTTCCTTAGCAGACGCGTTTTAAAGCTTTGAGGGGAAGCCCGAAAGGGAAAGCCCAAAGAGGACAATATCTACTAGCAGTGGAATTACATAAATGAACTGAGATCATATTTAAACGAGAGATAAGATGACTAAGAAAAACTCCTTTCTTTTTAATAGTCAAATCATAGGAACTTCGAAGTTAAGTGTATTTTTCTTAGAATAATTCCATGTTGGATGATACTCTGAAAATTTTTGTAAGTTGCATGTGAGCGAGGACAAAACATATTGAAAGGACCCGTATTAGTTGATGGGATAATCTTTAGTTTTAGGAACAAGATGTAAATAATGTGATCATATCGAGGGGATACAGGAAAATGTTGTGATACGCACGTGCCAAATATGAATTCTAAATCCTGATTCAAATCTTGAGCATTGAACATTCCCGTTATTATAAAAATCGAGAGGAAGTAGATATAATTTTTACGAAATTTCAAATTCCAAATAGCTATCAAATCACGACATGGATGACATATTCGGGAAGTTTTTAATAACGATACCAATTGTCTTCGTACCTACCCAAGTACTTGACAAAACTACCATGACTAAAGACTTAATCTTTTCAAATCCATGTTTGCTTCTAAAATTTCGATATAAATTGATATTTCTAAAAAATAAATGGTTGAAATGTATTATTTATATTATATTCACGTTTGTGGCATTTTTCTTTTGTTTCATTGATTTCTTCGCGAAATAATGAATGTGTCGACATCAAACTCATGAACATGTTGATATCAAACCCATAAACGTGTACGAACATCAATAGAAATTTAATACCTTTTCTATGCTTCAACCATCCTTATCTTGGTGTCTACTATAGCCCATAGTTTTTTTTTTTTTTTTTTTTTAAACCAAGTTCTCGCCTTGTTTCACGTGTATTATTCATCTCTCTTCGACCAAATAACATTGAAGAATGTCGTATTTTCACTTTTCGCGAAAAACTATGCCAAATCCATCACGACTACAACTAGGTGACATAACGTATGAACTTCCTTGCCTAACTATGATGTTAAATTTCAATCGATATTCTGATATTCCTTCAGTAGCTTTTTTATGATTAATTCGAGTATAACTCAGATTCAGAATTCAGATTTTGCATCTAATGGTCCAGGGATTTTCCTACCTCCCCTCCAACATGGTCAGATTACTTACTTTTTGTTTATAAGAGTGAAAACTATCCCAACATATCAATGTGAGTTCTTTCAACATGTTGTAAACGTTGTTGGATGATAAAAGTCCCACGTCAGCTAATTTAGGAATGATCATGGATTTATAATCAAGGAATCTTATCCCATTGTTATGATGCCTTTTGGGAAACCCAAAGTAAAGCCACGAGGGCTTATGCTCAAAGTGGACAATATCATACCATTGTGGAGAGTTGTTCGTCTAATATGGTATCAGAGTCATGCCCTAAACTTAGCCATGTCAATAGAATTCTCTCAAATGTCGTAGATATTTTGATTTAAAAGAGTTTGTCAGTGATAAACGGTAATCGGAGGAGAATTAAAATTTGGTGGAGCTTGACATGGCAAGCAAGTATTTTGTTTTTTTATATTAAAATGTTAATATTGTGAGTAGGTGAAAAAAACGTTTAAATTCAATAACTAAATATTTAAACTCAAAAAAGACAAAATTAGATTTGATTAAAACAAAAATTTCCTAAGTTTATGTCAAATCTTTATATCACAATCCCATTAAAATATTCTTTGATGAGATAGAATGCCATATAAAATTTATCGAATCAATATTCTCACTCACATTTAGATAAAATTGAAATATATTTATATTTTAAATTAAGGGCAATAAAGGGCGTGAATTGAGTCAGTGACTCGAGCAACTCAAATAAAATTTACAATCTAACATAATTCTCTATTTTCGAGTTGAGTTGGACTAACTATTTTTTTTAATTATTTAAAAAAAATACCATTGATCAACCATACATGTTATATTAATAACTAAAATTTCATAAAACTTAAATATCAAACATTTACAGATCAACGTCAAATATTCTTAATCTTCATAATAATCGTAGAGTTGGATTGTAACATTATTTTTGAGTTAGTCGGGTTGGTCAGGTTGACTAAACCCAAAAAATATCAACCGTAAACCGACTCAAATTCTTAACTTTTCAAAAATAAATCGAAAAAATATAACCCAAAACAATTTTTATAATTTGAGTTAGATAATTGGTTTGGGTGGGATTCTTCAATTATTTGTGCACCGCTATCTTAAACTTGGAGATTAAACAAAATGCACATTAAAAATTCCACGTCATATTTTGAGGAGAACATTATCTCCGCGTGGCATAATTTGATTGGCTGACAGGATATCCCTCCGACATCCTCACCCTCTACTAGCTAAAATAATCCTGAGATTTCCCGAAAAGTCACTTTCATGAGTGGACCCCACATCTCAATCTTCCCACCGTCCGATCTGCCATCAGGTTAATCGGACGGCCAAAAAGCAATCCCCACAGTTCATCTCTCTCGTTAATCCCCGTAATTCGATCAGTCAACAAAGTTCTGAGTTCAAGATTCCCATCTCAATGAAGAAGACGAAGCATTCTCTGTTTCGGACTTCCAAAAGACCCGAAATTTCAGTTTAAAAACCCGACTCCCGACCCGTTTTTCACAGAACCAAAAAAAAGAATGGAGCTTCCGATTTTCTCTGTATCTTCAAACACTTCAACGATGTCGTTTGGTGCAAGAATCGGGATCTGTTCCACTTCAACCTCGAGGATTTCCCATTTCCCGGTCAGAAAGCGCGCCGTCGGTAGGGTTCGGTTGCCGTCCGGCGTCAGGGCGTCGGCGGAGCCGAGGAGTGAAAGATTGGAGGAGGGACAGACACGTGGGAGGTTCACCGGACCAGCCATGGAAATGACCACACTGGATGCGAGTTTCAGAGAAACAGAGTTCCCTGTTTGGGAGAAGATTGGTGCTGTTGTGAGGCTCAGCTATGGTGTTGGTGAGTCAAAAATGATTCCTTTAGAGATTTAAATTTGTGGGTTTCTTTTATTTTTATGTTTTTCATGGAGATTTGGATTGAAATCTGTGTTTTTGTGTTTGTTCTTGGTGTTCTTGAAGGGATTTATGGTGCAATGGCTCTGGCTGGAAGATTTATATGTTCAATATCTGGGATTGATTGGATGGGCGGGTTCCAACCATCTTTGGATGCTATTTTGGGAGGGCTTGGCTATGCTGTCCCTCCAATTATGGCCCTGCTCTTCATACTTGACGTAAGCTTATTTCTTAAGTGAACATGTTCTTTAGCTTGATTGGATTTGGATAAGATGTGTATGTTTTGAGTTTCTTGATGGAAGGAATTTTCATGTTTTTTACAAAAGTTGTTTGGTTGGTTCTGAATTTTGAGTGGAAAATATGAACAATGTAGGGATTGTTTGGTAATCAAGCTTTTTTGGCTTGAAATCTGCTTTTGGAAAGGTTCTTTTGATGCTTGTTAGGTTTCAAGTTACTGTTAGTTTTGTCCAAAACTGATAAGAACTTTCTGATGGCATGAAATTGGGATTGTTTGTAGGATGAAGTTGTGAAGTTATCGCCTCATGCTCGTGCAATTAGAGACGTTGAGGACGAGGAGCTTCGAAGCTTCTTTTACGGAATGTCTCCATGGCAGGTAAATGGTTTAATCTATGAGATCCCACGTCGGTTGGGAGGAGAATGAATCATTCTTTATAAGAGTGTTGGAGCCTCTAAAAAAACGCATTTTAAAAACCTTGACGGGAAGCCTGAAAGGGAAAATCCAAAGAGGACAATATCTGTTAGCGGTGGGCTTGTGTTGTTACAAATGGTGTTAGAGATAGGCACCGAACGATGTGCCAACGAGGAGGGTAAGCCTCGAAAGGAGGTGGACACGAGGCGGTGTGCTAGCAAGGATGTTGGGCCCCAAAGGGGGTGGATTTGGGAGTCCCACATCGATTGGAGGAGGAAACGAGTGCCAGCGAGGACGCTGGGCCCTGAAGGGGGTGGATTATGAGATCCCACGTCGATTGTGGAGGAGAACGAAACATTCTTTATAAGGGTGTGGAAACCTCTAAAAAAAAAAGTGATTTAAAAACTTTGAGGGAAAGTCCAAAGAGGACAATATTGGCTAGCGGTGGGCTTGTGCTGTTACAAATGGTATCAAAGCCAGACACTAGACGATGTGCTAGCGAGGAGGCTAAGCCCCGAAGAGGGGTGGTTACGAGGCTGTGTACCAGCAAGGACGCTAGGTCCCAAAAGGGGTGGATTGAGGGGTCCCACATAGATTGAAGAAGGAAATGAGTGCCAGCGAGGATGCTAGGCCCCTGAAGGGGGTGGATTGTGAGATCCCACATCAGTTGGGGAGGAGAACGAAACATTCTTTATGAGTATGTGGAAACCTCTCCCTAGCAGACGCGTTTTAAAAACCTTGAGGAGAAGTCCATAAGGGAAAGCTCAAAGAGGACAACATCTGCTAGTGGTGGACATAGGCCGTTACATAATCTCTCCCACTTGCTAGCTGCACAAGGAATGAGAATGCTTTTTGTTTACTTTGTATTCCAAATTTTGCAGTTCATTTTGATCGTTGCAGCAAGCTCGGTCGGGGAGGAGCTCTTTTACCGAGCAGCCGTTCAGGTTCGTTCTTTCGATACTAAGACATTATTCACCAGTTCTATATATGCAATTGCTGGATGCTGATTGAACATTTCTCTTCCCTTTCTTAACAATTTAGGGAGCACTTGCTGATATATTCTTAAGAAGTACTGATATTGGAGCTGATGTTCAAGGAATGGCATCTCTGGTATGCAAAATTGTCCCTTTTTATCTCTTCCCTTCTCGTGATGATATCGGTTTTCTCGTCGTGTATAACTTTGTACCATGCTCGTTCAATTGTAGACCGGCGTGCTGCCTCCATTTGTGCCATTTGCACAAGCATTTGCAGCTGTTATCACAGCTGCTCTTACAGGTTCACTATATTACGTCGCTGCGTCGCCGAAAGGTTGATATCATATCATATCAAATCAAATCATTTAAACGATACTCGGTTTCCAATTTGGTTGATAGTGAATTCCTTGTTTTCTTCTCCAGATCCTACTTATGTAGTTGCTCCGGTTTTGCAATCTCGTTCTAGTCGCGACGATCTTAAAAAGCTTTTCGCAGGTTCGATTCAAACGTAGTTCACTTCATGATTGTGCTATGCATACAAAATGACAATCTCCCTATTTTCAGTTCATCATAAGAACGTTCTCGCTCGACATTTATATCTTTTTCGTGTAAACGTCTGCAGCGTGGTACGAGAGAAGACAAATGAAGAAGATCTACTCTCCGCTCCTCGAAGGACTCCTCGCTCTCTATCTCGGTTTCGAATGGATCCAGGTAAGAACTTTCGTAGCCAAGCTACACAATGTATTAGTTTCATGAGGCAAGAAACTTAGTTAGTATGTGTTTTGTGATGACGTTTTCAGACCGATAACATTCTTGCTCCGATGATCACGCACGGGATATACTCGGCGGTGATATTGGGACATGGACTTTGGAAGATCCACGACCACCGGAGAAGGCTACGACAGAGAATTCAGCAGCTTAAGATGGAAGGAAAAGGGTCAGATAGTTTGTGAAAGGGAAGGGGAAGAGTTTATATAGAGAGCAAAAAGAACATGTAAATTATAGGTTGGCAGAGCCAAAATTTTCCATCTTGATCATAAGCTGTTCATACAAGAATTGAAGTATATATTGTATGGATCAAGAGACTTAAACGTGTGCATATGAAGAAAGTTATAGTGATATTTTAGATACTTAAAAGAAGATTTTTGATGTTTGGTTTTTTAAATTACTAAGTCTAAATTTATATAAATGTTTTTATAGAACGTAAGAAATTGTAATTGTTAGCTAATATTGTCTATTTTGGCTCACGATTTTAAAACGTGTCTGTTAGGGAGGTTTTTACATCCACCACCTTGGGGACGTTGACACATCGCTCGATGAGTGGATTTGATACCATTTGTAACAACCCAAACCCACTGTTAATAGATATTGTTCGCTTTGACTTGTTACGTATTGTTGCTAGTCTCGAAGTATTCCTTCTTCAACCGACGTGGGATCTCACGAAAATTTAATAAATCATATGAGGGTGGTGGCTTTGGTTGGTGCCCCTTTAAGAACCCTAGTAAACTTCGACTCCGGGTGGTGGGGGAGGGCTTTGCCATAATTTCTTGGAGAGCACAATATCAACTCTTTATCAATAAAAAGGAACACAAAAGGATTCGATCTAACCTAGAGACACAACTTGAGAATCCCACGTATGGAGAATTCATTGCTCATAAATTTAGTCCAGTGTCCTTCTTCCCCACTACCTTTTTGACGGTAGGAATATACAATAACTTTGGAGTGGCTTAAGGGTAGTTGCTATTAAATAGGTGTATCTCCGAACGTCATTTTTTCTGTCTTCCTCCATCATCTTGATCTAGTTATATCATCTTTAATTTTCTATTCAAACTCAAATAGTTAGTGAGGTGAACTAACGGGTACATGATCAAAACTATATCAAACTCTTCGATTTAAAAAAAAAAAAAAAAAACCACCTACAATAATAAATATTTTTATTTTTAGAGGGAAGTTAATTAATATGATAAATTAAAAAAATGGGATTCATTCAAAAAGAATTTAGGGGCTAAAAAAAAAGCATATATGAAGATGAAGATAATGATGAAATTAAATGAAAAGAAAAAGAAAATTGGGCATGCATTGATTGATCTTGACCTAACATTCCCAATAGTGTTGCCTTTTTCCAACCATCTCAATCACCCAATCCTCTCTAGCCCACATGCTAACATTCCCAATAGTGTTGCCTTTTTCCAACCATCTCAATCACCCAATCCTCTCTAGCCCACATGATTAATTCTTAAATGGTATAGTCAGAGCATGGTATTAAATCCAACAAATTCAGCTTTCGATCCCATCTTTAATTCTTAAATGGTATAGTCAGAGCATGGTATTAAATCCAACAAATTCAGCTTTCGATCCCATCTAATAACTATTTGATTTTAAAACGACCCTAACAATCTGACTTCTATAATTTGATTAGACTAACATTCCCAATAGTGTTGCCTTTTTCCAACCATCTCAATCACCCAATCCTCTCTAGCCCACATGCTAACATTCCCAATAGTGTTGCCTTTTTCCAACCATCTCAATCACCCAATCCTCTCTAGCCCACATGATTAATTCTTAAATGGTATAGTCAGAGCATGGTATTAAATCCAACAAATTCAGCTTTCGATCCCATCTTTAATTCTTAAATGGTATAGTCAGAGCATGGTATTAAATCCAACAAATTCAGCTTTCGATCCCATCTAATAACTATTTGATTTTAAAACGACCCTAACAATCTGACTTCTATAATTTGATTAGACTATTACTACATGTATTAAAAGAAACTGTCAAGTCCTCAAATAGCAGACATTGGTGTCCCCCGCCCCTTTTTTGAGATTTCTGGGTTAGAGAAGGGAAGAGCAAGGAATTGACTCTCCCAGATTTCACTGTCAAAAAAGGATTGAACTATTCTTGATCTGATCCTTCACCTTCAAACACGAAGAGTAAAGAAAGACTTAGAAAAAGTGAGCCACCGGTTCAGGTACAAGATACTATCATTACCGCCTGGATTTCGTTTACCCAGCCAGTGAAAGAGTGTTTGAAGGCAGGCAGAGTCCTACATGTATTAAAAGAAACTGTCAAGTAGAAGTGATAAAAACGTAAAAGATTTATCAGTTAGAATGTTAATTTGAATCGAAAGAAATTTTAAATCATAAATATAATGTTCAAATCTAAAAGTATAAAACTCATCCCCATTTCAAATTCATGGGAGTAAACAAACATCTTTTTTGGTTCTTGAGGTAAACAACTGAATCTTAGTCAACTCGGTTAGCTTCCTCTTCTTCCGGTGGTGGGTCAACCACTGATGCAGACAAAAGCTAGATATTGTCTCTCCAACTAGCTCTACCCTAGTCACAGGGTCAATAATAGATATGATGGTTCTTCGATTTTTTATTTAGATTGCTTTCGAATTCATTGAAATTTGGAACTCCTAAACGGATATCAATTTGTAAAAATATTAGAACTACACAATAAAATAAAAGTGATTGTAAAATCTACCCTAATTAAGTGATAGCGTGTTTAAAATATATATTTGTTTTAGATGACGAATTAAGTTATAAATGTAGGTAAAGTTTTGATTTTTTTCACCAATTTCTAAAAATTTAAATCCCGACAAAGCTACATATCTGATTTGTGTGTGTTTCAACATTAAGATTTGCTTGTCATACACACTCCGATGCTTATGTTAGAGAGGAAGAGTTAAGTTTAGGATTTAGAGAACGAAGCATGAACTTCCTTTCCGTTACTCCATATCGAATTATTTTTAGGAAATTTAACTTAAAGCTCCTAAATCAATATTTTGGAACATTTCAGGTTTACTCGTGGTAGCCTCCATCTTGGTCGAGGTCGAGCATATAAATTTGGGCCTTGGGCTCAAATTTCACTCTACTCCAATCCAATTTGGCCCTTATCCATGGTAGCCTATAACAGCACAAGCCCAAGTCCATCGCTAGCCGGTATTATTAAAATTAAGCAACACGTTATAATTCATGTGGCTGATGGGCTGGCCCTCGAATGATGATGGGCTAGTTCTTGACTTAGATGTTCTTATATTTGATCCCAAATGATGGAAGCTTTCTTACCAACTAAGAAAATCGAAAAACTTAAACATAAAAATGGAAGGGAAGATTGTGATCATTACCCCAAGTGGCTCCTTTAAGAAAGGAATAATCCAACCTTTTTCTAACCCTAGGAGGAGAAGGGCTATACTTAATTCAAAAAGTATTGAATCTAAATGTTGGGAAAAGCAAAAGAAATAGGTTTAAATATTATCGGGTCCCTAAACTTTCGGCTCCTTTCGTTCATTTTTGTTCCTGTACTTTAAAAACGTTCATTTTAGTTTCTGTTCTTTAACTTGTATATGTATTTGTAAAGTATTCGTTTGAGTCTTTAGTATCTTTAAAATGTGATCGTATTTATCCCTATTTACAAAATTTCAATACAGATTTAGAGTTATATTTTAGGAAATTTAGTGAATGAAATGACGTATTAAAGACTAAAATTGACGTGCAATAAACAAAAGTTCTAAATATAAGAACCAAAATGATATTAAACGAAAGAAATAGTGATGTGCATGGTGATATCAAGGCAGCCATGTGAGGCCTAAAAAGCAAGTACGCATTGTCTACTTGAGCAATATGACAATGAACTTCTATCCCATACTTCATTGTTCTTTCCCCCTTAATTCTATACTTCATTGTTCTTTCTCCCTTAATTCTTGAGTCCTCTCGACGCGTTAAATTATGTTTCATTGTGTTCTATTCGATCGTGTTTCAATGATTTAAAATATATGAGAAAAGATTATATCTATTCTTTTAGGGCATCAAATATGTTAACTAAAAATACATGAAAATCATATCCTATGAATTTCAACCTTAAATATTGAGTTGGGTTTGATTTTTTTTTTTTTTTTTTGAATTGGTTGAATTTTTGAAAAATTGAAAATTCGATTCTGTTAGCAAGTTAACATTTACGGATGAACCTGAAAATAGAGTACAACTCAATTTTACCATACTTTTAAAAACATTATGAATATTTAATATTTGTAATCGATGTTAATGGTAGGTTGTGACTTGTAAACATTTGATATTTGAACTTTATAAGATTTTAGTGATGAATATAACATGTATTGGGAACAATTAAGATTTTATTAAATAATGGGAAAAAAAAAACAACTCAACAACCTAATCTAGGGTTGAGTTGTGAACTCTATTCGAGTTGTTCGAGTCACCAACCCAACGAACCTAATATTCCGTGATGGTCTAAGAGATTGTTCAAATTCAACACAAGTACACTCTTGAATGAGCTTTGTCTTCTCAACTATCCGCCCAAACCCATCACTAATCGATATTGTCTTTTTTGACCAGTTACGTATCATCGTCAACCTCACGGCTTAAAAAAAAATTCACACCCTTGTGAGAAATATTTCGTTCTCCTCTCGACCCAATGTAGGATGTCACAGTCCACTCTCCTTAGGGATAGCTTTGATACAATTTATAACAATTCAAGCCCACCGCAATCAAATATCCTCCACTTTGACCCATTACGTATCACGGTCAACCTCACGATTTTAAAATCGTTTGATAAGGAGAGATTTTCACACCAATCTTTCGTTTTCTCTTCAACCGACCTGAGATATCACAATCCATCAAGAATCTCTACTACACCCGAGGTAGTAGGGTTACAATATCACCAAATGTTTGGAAATTACATGTTCTTATTTTTGGCACACCATTTTTGTGGTTCCCATCAAACAATATTCACAATGAAGAAGTAAAAAAGTAGGGTTAAAACAAAAGGGGTTTCTCGATAGCACCAATATTAGATAGAGAGAGAGAGATGAATGGTCGAAGAAAATACATAATTTAATGTACGGACACATCGTCTTCTCTGCAAGTTGGAACACCATTAATGGAGGAGATTACAGGCTGTTCCACATGCTCCATAAAAACGACAACTCGATCGTTATCAGCCACGTGGGTTGCTTTTAAATTGCACTTTCTTTGGGGGAAGAAAAAAAAAACCCCCCACCACCACCACCACCACCTTACTTTATTTTAATAATAATAATTTCTGATTAATTAAGATTTTAAACACCATACGAATCTAATACCCCACCATGATGGGTTTTCAT